ATTCTATCTTATTCAACTATTCTTGTCATGCTATTAGGGGGTTTGACTTCTTCTCAGGAGGCAGTGGGAGATGAATTGTCCGACTCTTTGAAAAATAAATGGGTTGGTGGACTTTAGCAATAATATAGTCTTTTGTTGTTGGTTGAGATATGAAAAACTTGGGGAAATATTGGCGACATCTTTGAATAACTTTTTTCTTTCAAAATCGTAATGAGGACACTGACAGATAAAATGCATTTCATCTTCCACTGCTCCCTCTGTACAGTATTTACAGAATCTTTCGTTTACAGGCAGTTTCTTATATCTTCCTCTCTCTATCTCTAATATCTCTATCTCTATATTATATTTTAAAAACCCTCTGAAACTGGAGAATAAAGAGCTGTAGTCTATATTGTTGACTTTTTGTAAAGGGAACTAAATCTTAAAATTGAAAAGCCTGGTATACTATGCTACATATACCCCAAACCCAAGTTTTCATGTTTTTTTATCAGCCTATTATTGATTGGACAGTGTTATTTTACTTATTTACTTAAATTACTTGTGTAACGTTAATAGCCTTTGCATAAACAAAGTTGTAAGTGTGAAATGAAATTTTATGCCTAACGTTAATGTCCAATGACCTTTGTGTCACATTTTCCAACACAGATGGAGGGCTGGCACAGAGCAAATAATGTGGCAGGGATCTCTGCTGTACATAGAGTACGCCTCAGACTAGCGTGAGTGACAGTTTCCTGTTTTGTAATAATATAAAGGCCTTACGCCACACCAATTTAATTTCTTGGTTAACGGATTCGCCGCTTCATTTTTTTCTGATTTGCAAATAAAAATAAAAATTCAGAATCAACTGCAAAATGCGCATATTTTGCCCTGAACAGTTGAAAACAGTCATTCTATTACTACTTGTTACAGTCATTCCATATTTCAATGCAGTGGTATCATTAAAAGTTCAAAATTCATTGTTTAAATTTTGAACCAGCCTGGTGTGTTGACTTCATGGCTCCTATCGTACCATTTTGGGCTATAATAGGATGCCTAGGCCTGTTTTTATTTTTATTTTTTTTCTGCCCGCCCGCTCCATTATTTTTGTAGAAAAATCCGTTAACCAAGAAATTAAATTGGTGTGGCCTTAACTGTGATCAATATTTTTTTGAAACATTCTGTTTGGAAGTGCTGAGCTCTTTGGTACTGCTCATCAGTCTTCATCATACATTTCATATGTTTCATTCCTTGCTTGGTATAAGTATCCATGTACATTTGGTATGTTATGATCGTCTAGTAGAATGCATAACAATTAGATAAACATTATTAGAAAACAAATGACTGGGCACAGGCACACAGTGAAATAGCCAATAGTGTGTTTATTGAATGAATGAAGACCTTTATTGTACATTTTGCCCCACTGGGCTAAAGACAGGTCACATATTGACAAAGTACATCATCAATGTTGATAATAAAACGGCTATAGTACGTTCAACTTCCTCTCGCTTTCTGGTAATCTTATAATGTAGTTGGCTGTATGAGTAGTTAAAGCTGGTTTGTTAAAGACTACAAGGAATATAAATTTCTCTATACTATTCAAATACTTAAATTGGGAGTATTTGCTTGACACAAAATTGAAAAGAACGTTTCTTTCGCTGTCATACATGGAACAATCCACAATAAAATGTACCTCGTCTTCTACTTTACCTAAACTACAATATTGGCAGATTCTTTGCTCTAGAGGAGTGCGGTTATGTCTTCCTGATTCAATTCGCAAATTGTGACAACTGATTCTTAGTTTAGTAATGGCAGATCTGTGACGTACATTTGCGATCTTAAGATAATCTTCTTCGTTATATGAGTGTTTTAATAATCTGTATGTTCGAAGTTTATTTTTTGAATTAGCAACTCTATTATCGTTGTGGATTTCGGAAAGGAATGTTTGGAAATACATTGTAACCAACAGTATGGTGAAAATGTTTGTGCTTGTGTCTCTGCAGGATGAGAGAGCGGCTTCTTCGTGGCATCAGTTTTGACATCTACCCTCCACCAAGCCGGTACATCAGAGGGCTGTACTTCACCACATGGGAAGCAGCCATGGCCCATATTGACATGACAATTCAGGTAGTTACTAAAAAATGTGAGGTTATGTCTTTATAAACTTTAGGATTCAATAGAACAGAGCAACCTTACATATAGCTAGTAGCTATTGTATAAAGTATATGTGATGTGCACCTGTGAACAGCACAGATCTATTGATGTATTTCTATTGAAATTATTGGTTTTATTTGAAGAATTATTCAATTTGATAAAATTACCAATATACAGAAGAAACAACTATATGACAATCACGGCTAAATGTAATCACTGATATTGTGATTGTGCCACACTGTCCTTAGCTATATGGAATGGTGTCCTCTGGAACCTACAATGTTCGGGCACTGGCAGGGCTCGAAATTAACATTGTCCCAGTGTCAAATGACACTAAATTTTCAGCTCGGGACAATTCAAATTACGTTTCGGGACAATTTCGGGGCAATTGAAAAATTCTCATCTGAGACTGTCCACATTATTTAGGAACATGATCCATCCATCCTGCTGCGGGCTGCTGGTATCGGTAGCCCATAATACTCTGACAAACATTTAAATTTGACCAATTGGGGATTCCAAATGTTGCATGGGGAGGGGGGGCGTTGAAGATGGTGCTGCGCCCATGATACTATCATGCATTTCCCTACAGTCAAGGAAAATGATGGACATTTATTGTACTAACTTAGTGGACTTCAAGTTGTACAAATTCAGTTGTTGTTGTTTTCTTATTGTTGTCATAAACTTATTTCCTGAAAAGCAGGCTGGGACAGTCCATCCTCAGTTTGGGACAATTGGAATCTATTTTTGGGACAATTTTGGGACAATAGTAAAAAAAGTTAATTTCGAGGCCTGACTGGGAACTCTAGTGGCAGCGCAGTACTTTGCCGACCAGGCCAGGAGGACTCATGAGGGCAAAAACATCCCATCTTGCCACAAGCTTGGCCATATCCAAGCCCACATGGTGGATGAAATGAAGATGAGGATGAAACCTGAACAGTAAGTCACTTGGTCTGTTCAAGATAGCATTGTAGCATTCCATGCGGACATACGTGATTATACTTACATATACAGGTAGAGCAGGATTACTGTGAGATATTGTACATGTAATATCATCTTTGATTCCAAGGACATTGTGGACCAGCTTTAGCTGTACTGTGCAACAAATATAGAACAGGAAGAACTTCAAACAAAGTTTTTTTCCAAACCACATACAAACCAAGGTGACCTTATAATTGGTCAATGTTTGCTGTAAATAGATTTCCACTCCTATGATTTATTTTGCTCTCCCAATGCTTTCCATTTTGGGATTAGAAAGCATTTACTAGTTTTTAGTTAGCATGCCTGATAAAAACAGTTTAGCTTCACATTTAGGTAGGCATCTTAACTCCTGAAATAAAATGTGTAACATAAAAAAATATATATATATATATATATGTATATTAGAGCTGTGTACCTAAACAAATTTTAGGTACAGGTACAGGTACAGGTACACAGGTTTAGGTACAGGTCCGGACCTGAACCTGTACCTGAACAATTTGACCAATTTATATGCTCTTCTGAACTCCTTCAATAACAAAAAAACATTAATAAACTTGTTAGTTAAGGTTTATTCTTTGTTTATGGCGAATGCTCAGATAAAATATAGGCAAAACTAAAGATGTTTTTGTTTTCATGAACACACTGTCCTTACACAGGGACCCATTTGAGGTCACAAATAGGCATAAAATTGGTGTGAAATTGTTTAGGTACAGTACCGGTACTGAGGGATTAGGTATTTTGGACCTGTACCTAATCAATTTTTCCGGTACAGTATCGGTACTGCGTACTGGTACACAGGTCTAAATATTGTACACCAACTGTTTTTTAGGTGACAGGTACTCTATTTTAAGTAACTATGTATATTGTATTGTTTTGGTTATCCCTTTCAGGTCCAATATTTTTTGCCTTCTGTAAATTTTGTGTTAACCTGTCAATTCCAGGGTCCGTGGTTTCCCTCTGCGTATGACCGCTAGTACACCAGTGTACCCCAGCCAGTCAGTGGATGTCATCCCTACCACCACTAGTGTACCAGGACAGCCATGGAAACCACCAACAAAGTTGGATGTCGTCGTGATAAAAAACCATGCTTTTGATTCAGCTGACAGAAGCAAGGTTAACACAAAGAAACGTAAAACCCTGTCCAGTAAGTTCAACGCGCCTCTAAAAGGACAGATTGGTGTTCGACAATACCATCGCACGGACATGTCCAGAATCTTGCCACATAGCCGTATTGGACTTTAAAAGGCACCCAAAGCAACTTGAGGCTGGTATAACTGGAAAAAAAATGAAGAAGGAAATCTGTATGATAAAGGCATTCACTGCCTCCTTTCAGCACATTTGCGACATTTTTCATACTTTGGGTGGTTAGAAACAGCACAAAAACAAGCCACCAGACGAGTATTTTAGTTATGGGTACCACCCTAAACTCGGCTAGCTCCATGGAGCTAATTATTCTCAGATTTTTACAGCGTTCTCGCGACACAGGGACATAAAATTTTTACTCCTTGAATAGCAACATGGAATGGGAAAGGGTTAGTTCAACTTACTATGTGGAAAAGTGGCCCGAGAATTAACTTTTTCAAATTTAGTTCTACTGGTGTACTCAAGTCGCTTTGGGCTCCTTTTAAACCTATTCTACATGTACATATCACAAAATGAGAGTGTTGTAACTGCAAGCTGTAATGGGCTGAAAAGTCCATAATAAACATTTTTAAAAGATCATTTGCTGGACTGTTCTTTATGTGCAGTTGACATGTGTCTCTTTAACTGTCTAGGACCACTGTAGTCTTTATTGCAGATGTTGCAAGTCTTTCGTCCCTCGTGTGTTGTCTGGTGCTTCTTAAGAGACTTGGGCCATTTGAAAGATGCTGGGCAGGTGGGACACTTGTACATTTTGGCCTCATCTCCCATGTGTGTCTTCTTGTGCTCTTCCATATGGGACCGGTGGTGGAAGAGTTTTCCACATGTGTCACATTTTTGTTTTGGTGTGACATGTGTTTTCCCTCTGTGTCTGTACAGTGCAGATTTAGTCGAAAACTTTGTCCCACAGTCCTTGCATTCCTGTTCGTCCTGGGAATGTACAGACATATGTGACATATAGCCTGAATATGATTTGTAAGTTTTCTTACATTGGTCACACTGTAAGGTCTTGTCCCTGTGGGAAAAGTCTGTGTGATGTTGCAGGGCAGTCTTGCCATGAAAAGTCTTGGAACATATGATGCAGACGCAGGTGTTGCTGTGACGGCAGTGGTGTCTCTTGTATGACGACTTGGAGGTAAAGTCCTTTCCACAGACATCACACAGGAAGGTTTGTTGTGCTGAAAGGTAAGAAGCAGGCTATCAGTTATGATTTGTGTACCACTATGATGTAACAGATGGGAGACAGAACAGTCAAGGGGCTGGTCACAGGATTAACAAAGATCTTTTCAATAGAGGGACATCTGTACAACAAGTGCGACCAGATATTTATGATTGTGCTTCAATAGTAGAAATAGAGATCATCTGACCGGTACTGCAGTGGCCACAATCACATAGTGTAACATTCAGATATATCAGTACATGCAAGTGCTGCAGATGATGATGGAAGTTTTTCCCCTCATACAACCAAGCAGACTTTTAGCTGGGGATGTGACTACTGCTCATTGACATTATGCAGACTCTTATCTTTAATGCTTCTAATAAATGTTGTGAGTTAACAGTCTAACAAATGACGTTGTTCCTAAATGTAATGTTACATGCACATTTTTACACAGCATTCTAAATCCATGTCACCTCACACAGCAAGGTATTGCCTTATAAATTCTACTTAGTATTTGCAGCACAATTTTTAACTTAACGCTATTACTGATAGCTGTCATTTTTTCACTATTGTCTACTTGTATCAAAAGGAACACGATTAGTTACTGTTCAATTGGCTGATACAAAATCCCGCCATTATCCAAGTTGGCTTTAATTAGTACCCACCTTCCATGGCAATCAGCCTAGCTAGCGTCTGTCCAGCCGTGAGTGAAATTTCCCGCCAGTACTTATAAACGTAAGATAGTCACTTCCGGGTTACCAGAGGTGGCTTCCGCACTAGACAAGACCACTGACGGGCCGTGAGGTAGGGGTAAACTTTTGAATGGGAAGGATTTGTGCAACGCCACTTGGCAGAAAGGTGGTCCAGAATGTTTGCCGGAGCATGGGCTACTTTAAATTTGGCGGCACAACCTTTATTGTTATTTTGCAGACGATTTTCGTGTCGACTGTGAGCTGTGCCGCCATTGGGGGCTAAGCAGAAGGACGGGGGCAAAGCAGAATTGCGCCGGGGGCGTAGAGGAACGACGGGGACGAAGCAGATTTTTTGCGGGGGCGAAGAGGAAGGAGTTTCATGGGGGTGTGCACATCTGCTCGCGAGAACACGAGACTAGGTCGAGACTTGTGTGGATCTTCTGGCCTCCCCCGCCACCTTGCGGAGTAGGGGTAAATAGGACTTGGGAGCTGCCTACTAGTATTTGCCCCTACTCTGTGATCAAGATGTACAATGGACATCGAAAATTTGGAGGTACGTGTTTCTTATCTTTCAAAAACAGTCACTGATTGAGGAAGATTCTAACTGCATATCAGTACAATTCTAAAAGAGCTAAACCTGTACTACCTGTGTGACGTCTTTCATGCAGAATTAAGTTCTTCTGCCACCGAGTTGTGAACTGACAATACCTGGAAAAGAAGATCAATATTAAAACATCTTGGGTTGTAATTATTAATAGAATGGTTTCTGTTTTCAAAGCTATGCCTTTATAGTATATTAGCCTGGGTACCATCCGGATTTTGGCTCCCCAATGCTCGAAACAAGTGATTTTTTTAGCATTGCAGAGCCAAAATCTGGATGGTATCCAGGCTATCAGTATACAATGTATAACATGTGGGCCTACAAAACATAACTCATTTCTCCCTATATGAATGCTTGAGCTATCAAATTGAATTAGTTTAAATGCCAGTGTTTTAGGACTCAATAATGACACTTTTGTAAGCAAGACCCAAATGCAGATATCTTAAATACTAAAAGTGACATACTTGCATTCGTGCATCCTCTGATGTCCCAACTGATGCCTGCGCAGGTTTCTCAGGCTCTTAGCCATGAAGGTACAGTTATTACACCTGTACTCCACTTTCCCATGGGTCTCCAACATGTGGGACTCCAGGCCATCCTTCTTCTGGTCAGAGTAACCACACATGTGGCACTTTAACAGATTTTCAAGCTGCTGCTTTTTTGCTCTTGACCTCCTAACTCTAGTTGTCTTAGTTTTCATTTTGTTTGAAGGTTCACTGCATTCCTTGCTTGCTTTTGTGTCTGTGTCGTTGTCTTGATTTGCTGTGTTTTTCTCTTCCAAGCTTTGACTGGAAAAACTTTTAGGTTCAACATAGTTCATAACATCTTCACTGACAGTGTCATCCTCCTCATCTTCACAGACAGATGCCATGTCTATTGTCACTTTGTTGCGCCCTCCTATATCTTCCTCGGGACTTGTTTTCTGTCGCCCTTTTCCGGACGTATCGGTCAGTAGCGTGCTCATCATCTGCTGAAACTGTTGTCCATCCCATTCGCCCATCGAACTGGTACCAACTGTCTTCTCACAACTGCCCCCCTCCCCCTTCCCTTCTTCCACACTGCCTGGCTGATAGCTGACTCTGTAGGTGAAGCTACTTTTCTCACCACCTGATACAGGTGCAGCTGTATTCTTTGCAGGTGCAGCATCATCACACGAGAGCATGTTCTCTTCACACCTGGTTTGCAGGTGCTGGACAAACTTCTCCACACTGCCGGCCTTGAAGCAGCACCTGGAGCAGGTGATGTTGATGACAGGTGTTTTCAGGTGTCCGTACAGGTGCAGGGCGCAGAGTAAGTCGGTCAGCGTCTGCAGGACGTCCGAACAAGGGCGGCAGGTGGTCTCATCCAGCAGTTCCTGTTGTACATGATCCACTAACCACTGTCTGTACACACGTGTGTTACAGTGAGAACACACCACACTCTCGGCTACGTCCATCCTAACACAGGAACAGCTACAGTCTCCACTCTTCACAAACTACAAGTTCTTGAAGCTGGTGTTCAGAGTCACCAGGCAGAAATCAGCCCTACAGAAACATTAGATAATCACATATTGAATAACATGGATATGATTTTTATTTTGATGTGCTTCTCATCATCTTCACTTAAAGCCAGATTTTAACACAAAAAGGCCAAAGGTCAAGGGAATGACCAATGCTATGCTAGGAGCTTCAAAAACAAGTAAGCATCCCTCTTTGGTAATTTATGGTAAAATGTTTGGTAAAAGACTGGAGAGCATACCGCATCATTTATTTACACCTATATTTGATTATACATGTATAGGTTATAAGGTAATGTTACGATTATGATAAATTTGGGGACATGTCATGATCATATAATTTTTTTCCTAGAGCTAGACTGAGCAAGACGTTTCCATTCTAAAAATAATTTATCAGGCATCCAGTCCAAATCACAAAGACCTACTATCTGGGATGAATTGTATATTTGCTTGTTGTTGTTTTTTCCGGTCTTCTAACCGTTACAGTATAAACATAACTATACATTTATATAACATATACTTTAAGTGCTATATGCGCCCCCCTCCCCCAAGTCCTCTAAACAATATCTTACATTTCAGCAAAATCTGTCGATAATCATGGGCAATACTTTCCTTATGAATATTCCCAATAAATGTTAAGAGAGAAAAACCTTCCTCTCAATATGAAATAGAGGATGAATACTTACATATGACGTATTTTCGTCAATCAAAATATTTTTTTCCGTTCCTGGCCGCCATATTGGTACTGGTGCATTCTGGGACGGCTGGGATATTCCATTCGATGAAATAAAAGTTGTGCTCAAATAATTTGCGGCAACACGATTTCAAATTGAAAAAAAAATTTAATCGGAATGTCATACGCCCACTTTGGTTACAGTTGCTTCAGTAATAGTTTTACTATGTGCCCCTATATCAAATATAACATTTCATGTTCAAAGTACAAAGGTAACGTTAATGTAACACCAAGGAGGTTTTAGTGCAAAACTATTTGCCCACATATTCGCTAGCACATCGCCATACTGACATTCTATAAAAGTTATTTATGTTTACCGAAGGAAAACATTGATTTTGCTCTGTTTCCTCTTCTTCTTGTTCTCCAAACAAATAAGGTCAATGACCTGCATCAGACGCCTGTCACCATGGTAACTAGTGTTGGGTTACATCAGGTTGCAATTTTATAGCAGGAGGGATTTAGACTCCTGTCTGGGCATATATGAATATATATGGATGTGTTTGAATAAGAGACCATATTACAAATGTTACCTTCTAGTTAAGTTATTTTTTTTATTTCAAAACATGCTTGCGCCTTCAATCTTGTATCAAATTGATATATACTGGAATCCATATATTTTTGTAATCCAAGCAGTAACTATAAGTTATTATTCAAATCCAATACAAGCATTTAAATTGAAAACTTTTTGAAAATCATTTTTTTTATTCTCATCGGAGACACATCTTAGACCGGGTAGAAAGCCTGAGAAGCGATGCCGCACGTGTTCTTCCCCCTCTCAATGAGTATGTAGCCCGCCAGCCCCCAGTCTGTACCTGCGAAAACAAAATACACAAAATGTGACATGTTTTTGCCGACGCCTCCGGAGCGAGCCTAATAGCACAGTGTGTAATCAGTCTGGACAAGGATCATAGGTCCATTTCACAGGAATTTGTCGTATTGTAAGTTACCATGCAAGGGCTGGCGGATCGTCGAGATTTTCGATATGTAGATAGCTTGAGTAAAGATGGACAAAATAGACTGTAGATGTATATTGTATTATTTGACTCAGGATAATGCATCCCTCTGCATTTGCATAATATTGGGTAACCGCTTTTTAATATTCGCACGTTACGTTTCATTATGTTTACCGAAGGAAACGTATTGTTTTTGCTCTGTTTCCTCTTCCGTTTCAAACATAAAAGGTCAATGACCTGAACCAGGCGTCTGTCACCATGGTAAGTGATGTTGGGTTACATCATATTGCAATTTCATAGCAGGAGGGATTTAGACTCCGGTCACCATATATATGATATATGTTTGAGTAATAATGAACAGAGCAAACCATATAATGTATGCAAATGTTACCTTCGTAGACTCAAAGAAATTCATATTGTCTTTTTCTGAAGTTATAAATGAGACAAGTTTGACTGTTTTACCCCAGCTGTTTTGGCAGATCCAGTAGTCTATCCCTCCAGAACTCCCATAACCCACCACGAGCAGGGCGTGGTTGAGGTCAGAGGTTGAGCAGTGCGGGTCGTGGTAGATGCCGGAATGGTAGAACGCCATGGACGGCTGGCTGGCGTCTATACCAGCCACCGTGGGTGTCATGGCAACGGCGCACATCAAATCAGTTTCGTTGTTCTTGATGACGTGACCGGTGTCTCTACACTGTGGTAGATGGACAAGGTAGTTGAGTATTGCAACTTAGTAATGAAAGAGACCTATTTTTACGTCGGCAGGTGGATCATTTAACTAATGGGCATAAGTATATTTGACAACATGACCCTGAAACGTTATCTCCGTATTGGTGAATGGCATCTTCGTTAAGGGAACTTAAAACGCTTTTTTTCAAAATGATGACATTTAGACGAATTAAATTGGATCTTCTGCCTTCTTCAAGGCGACTTAACCAAGTTTACGTGACCCATTGTAACAGTTAACGTTCACATTTGAAAAGCAATTTTCTCTATTCCTGTTTGCAACAGCCCTATTCTAGGCCATTACAGCTAGTAAGTACTAGTATTCCTAGTGCTCACGGTGAAGAAGAAAAAATCCATCTACATCTACACCAACCTTCGCTCAACCGTGACGGGGGCGATACCGACTTCCGACGAAATTTGAAAATTTGACACAGTGCTGACAGCACTTGGGTCATAAAGTTGATGAAGACTGAGCGGTTCAGTCGAAAATTTCTGGTGAGTTAATTTCGTTTTTAAGTTGTAGAACAGTTTATTCTCTTCAACTGGTATTACAACATGGGTAGTAAGTAATTCCTACATGGTTGCAGAAACGTTACACTTGGCTCTTATACAGACTAACTTCGCTAGAAAACCCAATGGTCTTGGACTCTTGTACGTACATTTGCGGCAGCGCGACAGAAGGCGGCGTTACAGTTCCCCGCGGGTTGAGTCGGGTAGTCCCCGGCGCTGCAGAGCCCCTTGGTCCGGTGGATGATACAGTCAAACCCCGAGGCTAACGTCGAGTCTCCGCAGCAGTCCATCGCCTCCTGGACACTCAGCTGGACCAGCTGACCTGTCTTTATGATGTGGTAGCACTCCAGAGCCTCTAAAGTATAAAATAGCATAGATGTCCATCAGTATTGCATAAAAGCATTGTTTAATTCTTAAAACAACGCGACTTCCAAAACGTAAACGAGATGTGGGACATAACTCCCTACCGAAGCCATATATTCGTAGCATTTTCATAGGCTGAAATTGTCTCTTATATTCATGCATATTGGCGTTGAAACAATATGAATAACCACTGGCTACATATGTTGACGAACTTCTAACATATCTTCTGCCTTCTGTAAACCATTTCCTTTATAACACAGAACAACATATCTGACTAATTTCAATTGTGTATACATGAAAGTTAGCCTGGGTGCCATCCTCCGTATTTGCCAGCACTAGGGGCCAGGCGGCAACTAGACCCCCGGGTCCCTAGTGCATCATGGCACCCAGGCTAACTTTTATGTATATATGTACTGAACTGAAACTTAAACAACTACGTGCACAATTCAATGCAATCCCTAGGATTCCCACCAGCTTTACATTGACAGCTGCATTTATATTACCTGTCAGTACAAAAGGGACGACCTTCCCCGTCTGCCCCTCCTCCCTCACCCCGCTGCTCACACCCTTCTTACGCCAGTCCAGGGACGAGGGGGGCGTGGTCCCGCCACACGCTCCCATGGCAACGGGATGACGCGCCCGGTTCATTTCTTCTCGTTCCCAGGTTTCACCATTTGTGACGGCATTTGTGTATCCGTGAAGCTGTATCTAGGAGATGGTCAAGAACATGCGAGAGATAAAAATTATGTCATTGGCGGAACAGGGAAACACCATATATATGCAAAATATATAGTTACGAATATGTGGTGTAATAAGAACTAAAGAATTCCTTATTATGTTTGCCGAGGGGAGACATATTGTTTTTGCTCTGTTTCCTCTTCTTCTGCAAACCAATAAGGTCAATGACCTGAACCAGACGTCAGTCACCATGGTAACTGGTGTTGGGCAGTGGTCCCCTGAGACTTTAAGAAAAATCAAACCTCTAGGGTTGCGAGGTCAATTACAACTAAGCAAGGTATGGACATGTCGGTTAGACGTCCAGGTAATAAGATATGCCACAAAAAGTTACGCAAGCAACTGGATATGATTTAGAAAACGGTCAAACGTTTCGGGTAGCATCCTTTCGTCAGTGACACTGGAGATGTCAGAAATGCAGGTTTATAAGTACGAACTATTGATTGATATGCACAGTATGGACAATGTACCTGATCACCATATTTGTTCATGGCCAAAGTATAACTCTTCCCCGCTGCATTGTGGGCAAAGATAGCGTCCATGTTCTTTTCCCAAACGTTTCTCCTTGTTGTCTCGTCATCTCGTGTTGAGTATGTCTTCCCGTGCCAGTATTTCCACGCTTCCCACAAGCGATCTCGGTCTACAAAAAAGGCGTCAAAAAATTAACTAACATGTTAAATCTCTGTTAACCAATGTCAGTTCGATTCTGGCTACCCCCACCCGCAATAGGGACTTAAAGAGGGGTTCGAGCTTACCGTACCTTCTATAAGATCTGAGAGGTACAGGAACAGAGCTATTCCATACCTGTCAAAATTCTGAACAGTGCTTTATGATTTATACTCTATTGTGTAATCACCCTACTACTATTTGTATATGTTATTCAGTTTGTTATTATGCAATATGTTATTCAGTTTTTGTATAATTGTGTATTCTCCGAAACTGCCTACTAGTAATTCAGCCTTTTTACACTGCATTATTAGACTGCAATATGGGCACGGACATAATGTCACACGGACACAATGTTTTAGTTTTGTGCGAATTTGCGAATGAATTATTTATATAACAGTTATATGTATATGTAATCATGAATCTTTGAAACGTTTCTTCTGGCTGGTTATATATTACTGGCTAACACAGTTCTTCGAACACAGTGCACATATTTCACTGCCGACGTCTTGGTCAATGTTTTCCTTGGCAAGGTGGCAGACTGCATACAGGTTGTGTCCAAAGAACTTTCAAATGATTTATCAATTATGTATCTTGACGCCCTCTTAGAACTATTCAGTCAATATTTTGGCCTTAGTGATGTGCGCCACAATTGTTAAGCTACGCCCATATATAAACCATATTATTATTTTAATAAGAAATGAACAAATTTTAATAAAAGGAGAAGTTTCCGTACCTGTTGTCTCAGGAACTAAGGGACTGTCGTCAGCCTCAGTGATATGCTGAATCCCCAGTAGGACGCAGAACAACACAACAACGAACTTCCCCATGGTCGGTCACGCTGGCTTTTTCAATTAGTCTTTTGTAGATTGCCTTTTCTGGATACTTGTTAGCTTAGGGTTACCGTTTCGCTGAAGTTAGCGATATTGCAACCATGAAATCCAAGCACGTCGACGTAATAAGAACTTCTGTCTTGAACGGAAACGTTGTTCGATGTTCTGACCCAGGTACCCCTTTAAAACACCTGACTATTGACTTACCTGTGGTCACATGACGACCTTTGACCGGTAAACACACCTACCTACACTGCTTTACAATCACAGTGTGTAACAAGACCTGGAACTGTGGACGTTTTTGATAAGGCCACAGCAAGTAATCTTTATGGATGACATCAGTGCGCGCATTAATTTTTGCCTGATTTTGAAAAAAAACATTGTTGCCCTCTGACAGTGGTCAACATGCCAAAAATTGGCAAAGATGTCTGTTGCCATGGCGGAAGGTGGATGGCAGATAACTTTGAAGAGAGGAGTCAAGAAAAGGCTCTGATTTAATGTTTTGTTTCTTTCTTTGATGCAGTGATATGTGATGTTTGCTGTGTATATGTGATGTTCACACTGAATCAAAACCATTTGTACAATAATTGAGTCAAAATTTTAAGATGTAAGAACCTTTTTTTTCGGCCCACCTTGTTTTTTTCGCCCGCTCGCATTAGATTTGGAGTCTGAGGATGATGTCATCCATAAAATTTACTTACTGTGACCTTAACTATATATGCTACATCAAAAGGTTCCATTCCAACTTCATTCCAACAGTATCACGGCATTGATTCATGTACGTTTGATTTGTTTGCCAGAAAAAGTACAATTTAATGTAGACAAACTGTTAACCGTCCCTCAATTATATGTATGTAGTGCAGGCTCTTATAATTACTCAATTTTCAGTTCAGATATTGGCGCCAAAATATACCTTCTCTCTGCCGTAAACTATACACCAGTCTCAACAGATCTGATTGGTCGGGGGCTGTGTTACGTTGTCCAATCACCGGGCAGCAGACATACACTGAGAGCCTTGTGTCAACATAACCTTTACATGCTACCTAGTCAGGAACAACGGAAGACATACCTCCTGCCTTTTGTACGTACAACAAAGTTCATGTCACCTGACTCCACTGTTTTCGGCTTTTCTCAAGTAACCGTCTCCAGTGTTGCCATGTTGTAGGATGCCCCGCGGTTGGTCCGAAACCTAGTTCTACTAACATCTAGGTACGAAAATTTAGATTTCGATCTTTCTGAGGTTAAGTTTCGGTGGCGCTAGGAGGGCGTTACTACACGTGTGACCTTCAAAGGTATTCTGGGGCTCTTGAACCATACAGTACTACAAAATAGCCCAGGTTTGTGTTACGAATTCTTACATGGTTTTCTATGTCACCTCGTTTTGACACTAGACGTAAGAATACTCCTGTTAAACCTTGGTATAGGGAACTAGTGCATTTGGTGCAATAGTGTAAGAATGCATGTTGTCAGCAGTGTTTCATTGAACTTTTATTTACGCCTCAAATTTTGTGTGTTTTGAAACAGATCCATACTGGGCCATAACACACGTTTACAAGATGGCTGAACCCCTATTGGGTATCATCCTGGTCGCATGGGTGCATTTTGCCGCTCCCAACGCCGCTGATACAGCCTGCCCCTACCCTTGTACCTGTACCGACTCATACGGGGAGCTAACTGTGTCCTGTTCGGGACAAGGACTCACAGAAGTGCCTTCCAACATTCCAACATCTGTCGTCTGGCTGAACCTCAAGTACAACAACATCACCACCGTTACAGACAACAGTTTCAGCGGTTTGAAAAACCTACGTGGCGTCGATCTGTCCAACAACAAGCTGGACTTCATTTCAACTTCTGCTTTTAGACAACTTCTGCATCTACAAAACGTCGATATTTCCGGTAACCAGTTATCCACACTGTCAGAGGAAGTGTTCAACTTCTCTATTGTATCAGCGAGACAAGATCAGCGAAGGTTCTTCGTTTACATGAGTGAAAACCCATGGAAATGTGACTGTAGGTTACTCTGGTTAGCTAAATTGCTACAGGGCGAATGCCCTCACTATAGCGGTAGGCTTATGACATGTAGCAAGCCTGACTCTCTGAAAGGAAGGGACATCATAACTATACCATTGGGAGAGTTTGCATGTCAATCAGACATGTACACTAGTGTTATTTCCACTGCTGTTACGAGTACAACAACTGGACTATTATTATCTCCAACCTACGCCCCCCTAAAAGATAATGGTAGGTCCTGGGCTGCGAATTGGTCCTTTCTTACTGTTGTAGGGGTACTTTTTGTCGCTGTTGGCATGGCGCTTGCTGTACTCGTGTTAAAGATATCGAAGGAAAGAAAAACCACCATGAGCTCTGATACAGAACCTATAATCATGATGTATGAAGCTTAATTACCGAAGGAAAACATATTGTTTTTGCTCCGTTTCCTCTTCCTCTTCTCCAAACAAATAAGGTCAATGGCTTGAACCAGACGTCTGTCACCATGGTAACTAGTGTTGGATTACATCAAGTTGCATTATAGCAGGAGGGATTTAGACTCCTGTCCCCATATGCATGTATGTGAATGTATCTGGGACGGTAAACATTATGCATTTGCTTTGAAATGTTATCTTTCTAGTTTTGATTTTTAAATCAAAACTAGAAAGATAACATTAAAATAGCTTTATATCTTGTGTATACCTTAAAAGGTATACACAAGATATAAAGCTATTTTTGTCACTATATCATGCGTAATTGCGTGGATTAACAAATATTATGATGCAGGATATAACTGTTTGTTAATATGTTACAAAGTGGATTCGAAAATAAACGTTTTTGTGTCAGTTTTGTTTCACGTTGGCACACTTTTTGCACTTCTGTCCTACATGTTTGCATTTATTTATACATGTAACATTGTTAACATCCGTGTCCATAATATCACCAGGGTCCATGATATCGCCACCTTGAGAAATAGTGTGCTTTAAGATATTTTTACTGCAACATACTTTTGGTATGCACTCCTGCACACCTCAAATGTACATACCTACATGTGTAGGGTATGTTGCAGTAAAATATCTTTAAGCACACTTTTTCTCAAGCTGGCGATATTATGGACTATGGTGATATTATGGACACAGATGTTATATCTATTGTTAGTGGCGCTGGCAAAATAAGTTGGTCAACTTTAGTGCAGCGCTACTTTGTCTAATGTAACGTTAAATAAAACATCTGAATAAAAAAAGCCCCACGTGACGGTGTGGTGAAATGATATTTCAGGAAATCATTCACTGATATGACGTGATTTCGATTTCAGCCTTGGAATATAAACGGGGTTATCTGACTAGACACGAAGTGGTGAAGATGGCTCACCTGGCTGTGTTTCATTTTTCAGGCTCGCTCTTCTTTGTGAAGAGACTGGCTCTGTCAGTGGACAACTCATATTTGACCTATTTCGCCGTACATTGTGCCCACTGGGCACCGTGCAGCGCCTGCTGCCCTGTAACTCGCATTTTCGACGGAAAGAAACAGCGATTTTTGACGTTTTGGGCGTGAAAACTTCTCGTAAACCGGGAGCCGTGAAAAAACACGTCCGATTCGAACGCAGTGTTTTCACACTGTGTACATGTTTGGCAGACCGTTGCCAGGTTCGAATATTCGAAAAAAAGTAGTTGTTCTGGAACGGGATATTGTTGGGTTTACATGTTACAGTTTAGAGGGGTTTTTTTTCCTATGAAAGTGAGCCTGTTTGACAACACATTGCACACTTGAAGGGAAAGAAATATTTAGCCTTTGCCCGCAGATACTGTTTGTTTATTAGAGCCGTCTGGCGGAATACAGTAGTACTGCAGTTTGAAAGCGGCCACCATACAAGCACACCGACTGACTGTGACTGGGATTTGTGCAAGTTTTCATCGACATTTGCAGTAAGTGTTGACGTATTATGCTTTTGATGTTATAGTAGCGTTCTTGATAAGTTTGTCTCTACACTGTATTGTCCTTGGCTTAGTTTTCTGATAGAAACTTGATCGCCAAACTGAAATCGACAAAATTGGGGGAGGGGGGCGACGACCAAAGGTGGGGGAGGGGGGCGTACAACAAAATATGAAGAAATCAACACGCAAATGTAAACCTTCTCCTAGTACATGAAGTCCAATTCTTACGCAAATATAATGATAAAATATTTTTTTAGAATGGAAAAGCCTTTCTCAGCCTAGGAAATGATCATGACATGTCGTTGTCCCCCCAAAAAATGCATGTAAATGGTAACATTACCTTATAAGTTATACAAGTCATTACCTTATACAAGTTATAAGTTATGACGCATGCATGTGCATGTATAATCAAATACAGGTGTAATAAGTAATGCAGTATTCTCTCCAGTCTTCATATAAATTACGAAAGAGGGATGCTTAGTCGTTTTTGAAGCTGACCTACTAGCATTGGTCATTCCCATGACCTTTATGGGGGCCTGCATGGAGGGGGGGGGGGTGGTGTGTCCCGAAAATGCTCTATGCTAAATTTCGAGAGCCAGCTATGTATTACGCTGAATTCAGTAAACCTCTCGATTATGCTTTACGATAAATTCCAAGTGGCTACTACGCAGTACGTGGAATTAAAACGGCGAATACGCTCTACACAAAATGCGCCAATTAATTGCTCTACGTTGAATTAGAGTGGTCCGTCTACGCTCTAAGTAGAATTAAAATGGCCAATTACACTCTACGGAAAAGGGCAGGTAGCCCCCCCCCCTTTTGTGTTAAAATCTGGCTTTATTTAAGTAAAAATGTTGAGAAGCACATCAAAATGAAAATCATATCTATGTTACTTAATATGTGATTATCTCATGTTTCTGTAGGGCTGATTTCTGTCTGGCAACGTTTAACACCAACTTCCAGAACTTGTAGTTTGTGAAGAGCGGAGAGTGCAGCCGTTCCTGTGTTAGGATGGACGTAGCCGAGAGTGTGGTGTGTTCTCACTGTAACACACGTGTGTACAGACACTGGTTAGTGGATCATGTACAACAGGAACTGCTGGGTGAGACCACCTGCCACCCTTGTTCGGACGTCCTGCAGACGCTGACCGACTTACTCTGCGCCCTGCACCTGTACGGACACCTGAAAACACCTGTCATCAACATCACCTGCTCCAGGTGCTGCTTCCAGGCTGGCAGTGTGGAGAAGTTTGTCCAGCACCTGCAGACCAGGTGTGAAGAGGACACGTGTGATACAGCTGCACCTGATACAGCTGCAGCTGTATCACATGCCTCAGTTGACCTTACAGATAGACAGAGAGTGAAACAGCTGCAAAATGATGTGGAGGAAGGGAAGGGGGAGGGGGGCAGTTGTGAGGAGACAGTTGATACCAGTACATCAGGCGAAAGGATGGGAGACTCTGAGTCTGATGGACAACAGTTTCAGCAGATGATGAGCACGCTGTTGACCGATACGTCCGGAAAAAGACATCAGAAAACCAGCCCCGAGGAAGACATAGGAGGGCGCAACAAAGTGACAATAGACATGGCCTCTGTCTGTGAAGATGAGGAGGATGACACTGTCAGTGAAGATGTTATCAACTATGATGAACCGAAAAGTTTTTCCAGTCAAAGCCTGGAAGAGAAGAACACAGCAAATCAAGGCAACGACACAGACATTTCAGAGACAAAAGATGAGGAGGATGCTATTGGCCTAATCATGGAATGTGAAGTAGTTGAAGAACACCCTTACCCAAGTCAAAGTAATATGGAAGGGAAGAAAACAGCAAATCAAGAGAACTTGAAAAGAAGTTCACGTGTCAAAAATGTCAGATGTCATCAGAAGACAAAACTAAGGGATGACACTTGCTATGAAGACAATGAATTAGAAGGAAAGGGAAAGAAAAGCAAGACTAAGATAGTAAAGGCATCAAAAGCAAAGAAGCAGCAGCTTGAAAATCTCTTAAAGTGTCACATGTGTGGTTACTCGGATCAGAAGAAGGAAGGTCTGGATTCCCACATGTTGGAGACCCATGGGAAGGTGGAGTACAGGTGTAATAACTGTGAGTTTGTGGCAGAAACTGAGGAAGAAGTGCACCAACATCAGTTATCGGTAGGGCACCAAAGGACACATAAATGCAGGTATGCTTTTGGCATTTTACTAATTATATTCATCTTAGATTTTTTTGGTATTTAAAACTTTATTTTATAGCAATGTAAAATTGTAATGATGCCTTTTACACAATGTACACTTGTACTAGTAGATGTATTAGGGTTTGAAAGAAACATATAGATAGTCCATAGTTTTACCAAAGGAAAACATATTGTTTTTGCTCAGTTTTTTCCTCTTCTTCTTCTCCAAACAGTGACCTATGACCTGACCAATGACATGATTTGTCGACGTCTGTCACCATGGTGACTGGTGATGGGTTACATAATGTTGCAATTTCATGGTCTGCTCTGCTCCTGTCACAATATACTAGTAGTGAATGTATGTGAATGCGTTTGAGTAAAAATTTACAGGGCAGACCATGTCTGAAGGTAAACATTATGCATTTGCTTTGCAAATGTTACTTCTCTAGTTTTCTTCATATTTGCAATGGGCACTGTGGTAATCCATAATTGCATATGATGTGTATTTTGCAGGCACTGTGACTTCACAACTCACTGGCAGAAGAACTTGATCCTGCATGAAAAACGTCACTCCGAAACAGGTTTGTTCCTTTGTTTTAAGTCAAAACAATCAATTAATAAAGGGTTAATGCCGACCCGAGGTGTATATGGTGAGATAATCCCTGGTCAGGTCCAAAAAGTGGGTGGTTATCTGAATAATCGCCCACTTTTTAGGTTATGGCCTGATAACTCATGGGAAATGGAGCCCTCTGATTGGTCGACGGCTACTGGCTATATGATAATGTATATTTATCCACAGGCATCAGAAGCTGATACTGCTAAGCCAAGAGTTACACTGGCTAGAAATTGCAAATGTGCCAGACATAAAAACTGTCATGGAATCTTTATGATAAGACCACACTAATTTAATTTGTTGGTTCTCGGATTTTTTAAGAAAAATATGAAGCGACAGGGCGAAAAAAAAGAAAAACAGGTCTAGGCATCCTATTATAGCCCCAAATGCTATGATAGGAGCCATGAAGTCAACACAAAAGGCTGGGTCAATATTTAAACAATGAATTTTGAACTTTTAATCAAACCACTGCATTGATAGATGGAAAAAACTGTAACAACTAGGGAAAAAAAAACTTCCCTTAACTATTGGGGGTAAAATATGAGCATTTCTTAGTTGATTCAGAACCAGAATTTTTTTTTTTTTTTGTAAATCAGAAAAAAAAGAAGAGGCGAATCCGAGAACCAACAAATTAAATTGGTGTGGCATATTGAAAAAAAATTACCAGGATTGTGTTTACAAAAGTTACTAATAACTTTTTTTTCTTTTTACAGAAAAGTACATTTCATGTGAAATATGCAGAAAAGATGTTCCAAAATCCACCTACAGGAGGCATCGCGAAAGACACAGTAGAAAGTTCACGTGCTCTACTTGCTCCAAGACATTCCCAGAAAAGGGTTTACTCAAAATACACACAGACTTCACCCACGATAACAAAGTACTGCAGTGTTCTTACTGCGACAAAACATTCCGATCGTACGCCGGGTACATGATGCACCGGTACGTTCACGTTTCCGATGAGCACACTTGTAAGGACTGTGATCTGAAATTCCGCACTAAAACCTTACTCTACCACCACAGACGCAAAGCTCACCTCCCATTTAAAGAATATACATGTGAGGTCTGTGGAAAGGTGTTGGAGTCACCGCGCAGTTTGAAAGATCACAGGAAAATTCACATGGGTGACGAAGCCAAGGTTTACAAGTGTGCAAAGTGCCCCGCATCGTTCAAGTGGGCAGGGTCATTAAGAAGACATCAGAATTCCCACGAGCTTTTGAAGACATGTACCATATGTAGAAAACACTATCAGGGAACCAGAGGACTTAAGAGACACATGTCAACAGTGCATAAAGAACTGTTTGAGTCCTGAAGACAGGTGCCAGTAAGAAAAGTTGTTGTGTTTGGTCAGTTTGGTGTGTAGCCTACAGGCTAGCAGTGACAATATACTAGTGTTCAGTTTGTAGAATGTACAAGTTAACCTCCTTGGTACAAGGCCTAGGGAAAAAAAAGTTGTGTTTCTTGTTTCCCGACCGGCCCTACCTATAGAAAACACTGCTGACCCTAGACTTTTTTGTGTGGAACCCTGCAATGGACATACATTTTTCAAGCTGATCAACCTTTTCTAGCTCCATGATTTGACACTTAGTGATAAAACGGTTTTCCAACATTGACATTGCAAATAGAAGTGTGCTCATGTTTTCCTTTGTTAAACTGTGTTGTATAAGTTTGATCACAAATTGGATATTGCCAAAGTCTAATAAAAAAAAAAGAAAGAAAAAGATAATTCCTACCTACCGTCAGTACCAACCCTAATTTTGTAAAGACTGGAACAGGAAGCACAACATTTCTTTCCTAGGCCCAAGAAGTCATTAAGTCATGTAAGCAGCAGAAAAAGTAGTTCCTATGTCATTTAATAATGAAGATAATAAATAAATACATGGCTTGTATATACATGTAGATTCAGGTGGTATGAATGTTCCAACAATCAGATGCAATTAATATTACATGTCATCCAGTATCCAACTGGCTACGCGATTTGATTAGTGACAAATCTAATAGTTACTTAATAATACATTAATGTCAGTGTGCAATTACATGTACTTGTAAATGCCCCCCCCAAATTATATCCCTATTTCTATGCTCATTACATAATTTTTGATCTTTGACAACAAAGCCAGGCCAAGAGAGAGAGAGACATAGTTTCTAAATTACACTCAAGAATTATTTATTGATCATTCGCAGTAAACTTGATACAAGTTACTGAATTGCGAATCAATGTACATTTCATTATTTTAAAATCCAAAACTTTATAGTATTGCACATAATGAAGTTAAAATGCAGTCATTAGGAAGTTAAAATACAAAATGTACAGAATCATTAGAAAGACTATATAGACCACAATAATTGCACATACTACCTAGACAACAATTTTGAGCAGAAGAACGATTAAGAGGTAAGAGTAGACTCAAGCGATACAAATATTTCAGATAAATAGATTGTCTGCTGTACATAACCAAACTTCAACATTTACTGTTAACAAATATTTATAAAGCTCATAGGATTTAATTAAATTACTTTCATTTATTTACAGATATCTTCACAAAAAGATAATCCATTATGTACAATAATTGTACAATTACACGTTCTGTAGCAGATCTAATCATAATCAAACTATAAACGATAGTCAAGGGGAAATGAGACCATCAGATTATTTAGAAAATACAATCTTACAAAAACAGGTTTTGTGTTGCTGTAACACACTTAGATGTTGGCAGTAAAAAGCTGATAACACTTGGCCTAAAATTTCCTGATTCTTACACATGGATTACAATTTATCATTGATATAATTTTGTTTAAAGTCCTTAGGCCACACCAATTTAATTTGTTGGTTCTCGGATTCGCCTCTTCGTTTTTTTCTGATTTGCAAAAAAAAAAAAAATTGATTCTGTTCTTGTATCAACTGAAAAATGCTCATGTTTTGCCCCCAACAGTTGAGGAAAGTCCTTTTCTTCCTAGTTGTTACAGTTTTCCCATCTATCATTGCAGTGGTTTGATTAAAAGTTCAAAATTCAATGTTTAAATTTTAACCCAGCCTTTTGTGTTGACTTCATAGCTCATTCCGTAGCATTTAAGCCTATAATAGGATGCCTAGACCTGTTTTTATTTATTTTTTTTTCGCCCTGTCGCTTCATATTTTTTCTGAAAAAATCCGAGAACCAACAAATTAAATTGGTGTGGCCTTACTAGACTGTATAGACTGGAAGAAACAACAGCCAATAACTCCAAAACTGCTTGAAATTAGGGTTCTAGTGCATACGTACATGTACTGGTAGTACATGTATCAGAGAGTAAGAAATATGCAGAAAGTGTAAACAAGACTCTTGGGACTTGTGTAATCATACATAATTGATACATAATAATCATACATATATCATATAATTATACATAACTCTTCATAACATAATGATTATATACTTATATATAACCCTTGTGATCATTGTACATGATTACATGTACACACTCTTGTGACCAGTATACAATTATATCAATTATGCAACCCATATTGCCATTGTATACAATAATGACTGTCAGTTATTTTCATTCCAGAAAAAATGGAAGGTACACCTTTGGATGGCAAGTTGTGAAAAGGAAATTAAATTCAGTAACATAAAGCATCTAATTATTGAAAGATGGGAGGCACTACTTATGTATGATCTCTGCAGCTTTCCAAAATTTAGCAACAATGTATCAGAAATGCCTTTAGGCAGTATCCATAACCTGGGGTGGAAAGATTTCATCATACTGTTGTTGATTAAGTCCAGATGTCATTTTTACATGGTCCCTAATTCTTGTCAGTAACACACCTTGCTCAACAATACTTGGACATCCTGTATAGGGGGAAAACCCCTCGGTATGCATGACGACAAGATTTCCATTCTTGTCAAAGCCTGATGAACCTGATGATCCACGAAACATGACATGAGTATGATAGTTAGCCCTTTCAGGTACCTGCCTGGGAATACCATCAGGATCATCTGGAATTCCGTAAGTGTTGTTTAAATGAAGCTCCAAGTTATTGTCCACAACAACAATAGGGCAGAAGTCAACCCTTTTCCTCTTACCATCTGGATGACCAACAACAATTAATACCCCATTGTTTGTGTCAAGTGATTGCACAAACTGACCCAAAGGTTTTGCATCTGGTGGCCCATAGCAAAGCTCAAGTATGGCATAATCTAGCTCCGTAGTTGCACTACGCGAAATACACCTGGTTGGGTTGTAGAGAATTGAGGGTTTCTCTGTGGAGGAGAAATAAAAGGTTGCAACATATCTCTTCCTGTTTGTGTTAACCCTGTAGTCGGGTTCTATGTATAACTCTAAAACATGATTGGCGGTCAAGATGTGCCTTGGGCCTATCAGAATGCCTGTTGCTGTTCCAGAGGGGAACTCTAATAAACACACAGACCTCATCCTGTCTGTGATGGTAGGGAACTCCTCGTAGTCAATACTGTAGTCAATGACACTAGCAAAGTGTTGTACCCCAGCGGTCCATTGTTCACAGTAGTTTTGCAACTTTTTTCTTCTCTGTTCTTCATCTGTTTTATTACTGCTGGGAACAAAGCTTACCCCAGGGTACTTCTTTTGGACCAGAGCTGTTGCTTGTTGAAGTTGCTGAATATCTAACTGTTGACAGTGCCTATAGATTAAAAGAAAAACCTGGTAAAAATTTCTCAGTGCACATTATTATTTCAATATTAGATTAAAAAAAAACAACACCCAAACAGGGGTGCACGTCTGACTCAGCTTGACCAAATTGAATGTGACAATCACCGTTATTACGGTAACAATTATTATTAAGAAACAAGTGACTTGTTTTTCCTTGTTTGATGAAGAAACCGATTGCCTCTTATCAATGTTATAGTCACTCAACCTTCTTTTGATAAAGTACTAGTATGTGGGATCTTATCAAAACCAAAGATCAAAGTGCAGCATCTTTGAACTAGATCCATTAGAACCAACTTAGTAACACATGTAGCTGTATTGCTTCTTTCTACTTGTTGAAGTTGTGCAGCAGGTCTTTAGGATTCACTGAGATGAATTGAAGGACATGTAGGTATAATTTAAATGTTTACTAACACTACTTACCCCTCACTTTCCTCAATATTGAGAGCATCAGTTGTGGAAAGTGGGCCAGAACCTCTGTGGTCATCATGTGGTGACCTCTTGCCTGGACCAGAAGCAACTGTTCAGTGATAAAGAAATTCAATTTTGTATGCTGCGCATGAAGAACTTACATGCAGTTGGTAAGTCACTAGTGCACATTTTATTTGTTTCTAGTTTATACAATACACATAAGATTTTGGAAGCTTGATGTTAACTTTTCTAACTTTTGCAATATCTACATGTAAGATGAGAAGATACCTTTGGTAAGGTTAAAGTTGCATACAGTCTCGTGGTCAGCAGTTGAAAGATGCAAGTCAAACTCAAGGTTGGACCTCTGCCCTTTTCTGTGCTCTGTTGCATTCACGTTCACCCGGAACTTCTTGTAATACATCCCAGTCTGGAAGGTGTCGACAAAGGGAATACCCTGTAAAAGTACATGTAATAAACAGATTTGTAAAAAGGAGATATTTCTAATAAACTGACACATGATGCCAGAATATGGATTATAGATAGACATTTTTCTTGAATTCATAACTGTACATAGACTTAAGGTAAAAAATAGGATATTTTATCTTATAGAAATGTTTGTGCAATGCCAACACTAAATAGAAGGAATTTCTTTCTACTCAAAATATAATGCACAGAAAGGAATCTATCATGAACCTCACCTCCTCAGGTCGTGTCAGCACATTGATGTTTGTTTCGTTGCGGACGGTCACCTTCAGATGATACTTTTCCCCAACTTTCAACACACATGGTTCTGGGTCCCAGCTGGAGTAGCCTTCTTCCCTCTCCAACTCCTGAAGATGCTGCAGTCATAACACCAATAACACAATGCTATTAATAACTCTTATTGTTGCTATTGTGGCTGTTATTATGTGCCTACACATGAAACTATTACACGTCATGTATAACTATTTTTGCACATATTTTGCTTTTTCTAGATTCTGAGCGAAAACATTTAGAATTTGTCATGATTTTACTCTCTTACTGTCACAGTGGACTTTAAAAGCTGGTTCCATTATTGTATCCTATGCTGCTCCATATGCTGGTAAAGTTGACATAACAATGTGTGTGATAAAAGATTAACTTACCTTAACTATTCGCACGTCGTTGGAGATGATGTAGACATGGAGCTGAAAGACACGAGTGAAGTTTGCAGGTGCAAACACCACACACAGGCCATTTCTGCGTAGGTCCCTCTCCAACATACATGCAGGTTGCATGACAGGTTCAACTGTGCTTTCCCACGGGAATCTAGCGATGGGAAGCCTAGAGGTGCTTTCTGCTGATGCAAGTGTGTAGGTCACATGCATTGGACAGGGAGTCACCACGCCCAGCCCAGTCTCGGTGCACAGGTACTTTCCTTCACCTGGCAAGCTGAGGGACCTAAGGAAATAAAGAATTCTTGTTATAATGTCACTATTTATCACTGGTGCTATGCAACTCTGGCAAAGTGGTTACCTGGAAGGAAGTTGACATTAATTGAAAAAAATTAAGTTTACATTTCTACTTTCAATGCATCTTCAAGTAGCTCTGATATATCAGGAGCCTAACATTGTTCCCAAAAATAAACTGTCGAATTCTACTACAAGTTATAACACCCAGAAGTTAAGGTACAAACAGTCAGATGAAAAAAAAAACTAATTTGAAAGTGAATCTAATTATCATTTTGATGTAAGCTACTCACCAGTGTGTGCCTCCAGTCATCCCAGGCCTGACAGGTGTTACTTTCAAGATATCCCAATATTCCTAATAAACAAGGCACATATCAAAACATCTAAGATGAGTAAAGATGGTCACATGTATCAACAAATATGTCCTAACATTGTCTAGTTTAATTTAATGCCTACATGCCGGACAAAATAGATCTTATAAAAAAAGATACCACACAGAATGCATATCAAATTTTACAGGTCTGGACTAACTTGAGAAATATTTCAACAACAATGACTTTTAGTGATCAATCCCAATATGAATTAATCACATTGCACAGAGCAGTCGTGAGTTGTGAGTAAAAATTTCAAACAAAATATAGCAATTTTTTTTTCAGATTCAGATATAATGAATTCAAAGATTAGACTTCACCCTGAGTCAATCCACCCACCTTGTAAATTTCATGTACAACTGCAACCTGGTCCAGCCTTCCGATAGTCTGCAGAGTTTTTCCCAGCAGCAGCAGCTGGTGCAATGGTCCATGGTCATTCCTGGTCCGCCAGACCTTCAGCATCTGGAAGGCATCCTGGGTAGGCCCAACTACTGGGGTGTTGTCCAATACAGAGCTGTCCAGTCCTAGCTCTTGGCACAGCCGCATCCATCCCTCACCAAGGGCCTTACTGACCTGGTACAGACGGTTGTCTGGGGAAAGGAAGGTAATAGAAAAATGTCAAGTTTTAAGTTCAACGTTATTCATTTTAAATAAATGGAAGAAATGACTAATAAGTACCATGGCATGACAACATTTTGTGATCAGGAATATTCCATTTTAAATGTGATAATCAAGAGGTGGGATTTTATTTCAAAGTGTATCTAGATAGCAATTGAAACTGAAATCTCAAGGGGGCAGAGAGTACAAAAATGTATCTTCTCAGTCCACTGGATTTAAAAAATGTACTAAAAATAAACCAACCAGATTAGTGGCCACAAAAGCTTCCAATGGACCAAGACACGACTGTTTAAAGAGATGGCATACAAACGTTTTGGGCAGCTTGGGATACTGTGCACATGTGGGGTTGGTTTGAGTAGCACATTTAGTTATATAGATGTTTCTTGCATGAAAGTTCTAGTTGTACTTACCGATGAAATTCTTGGCAACGACATCCATTGATCTCACAGATGGCAGCAGCCCTTTGAAGTGTCCCATGGCCATTCTCAACAGATCACCTGTCCTGCATTGTCTCACAGCCTCTATAGTGAGTGACCTGGCTGTTCGTTTGCTTTCAACACTGCCTTTGAGGTACAATGCAGGAAACTCATCCCGACAGGCATCTATCAGCCTCACTACTACTTGAGCCCGTTGCCATGCCTTCTCCAACTCTCCCCTGATCCGTATTTCTTCATGTGTAGAAAAGTGACGGTACATGATTCCTTCCGAGTTCTCTTCAGTATGAATGATGACAGTGTCTCTGGCAAGGAGGCGGCACGTGGTCTGTTCCATGGACAGAATTCGGGAAACCATTGTTTCATTTAAACCCAGAGGAGGCTCTTGGCTGTACACTATACTAACAGAGACCTCCTCTTCGCCTGATGCCACAATTTCTGGCCAGCAGTGCGCGATCTCGTCAGGCTGGGCGGCAGGGAGCTCTGTTGGGAATATTTCTGATCCAAAACACAAGCCGAAGTGCTGCATGAGAGGAAGTAGTTTGTAGAATACAGGTATATTGTCATCTCCAAGCACATTTTTTAGGAAACTCTTGGTTGCCCTGCCTTCTTTCAAGAACAACATCACGTCTTTAGTAAACTGTACTCTTGCATGTTCAGAGAGAGACTTAGCTATGCGGTCCAGATATCCTGGTAGGTCATGCCTAAAGATCCGCTTGAAGAGTGTGAGGATGATGGTTGGGTCTGGGAAGACCATATCTTCCATCCCTCTGATGTGGCTGTAGAACAGGATCTGTCCGGTCATATGCAGATGGTTGAGTGCCTTCAAGACATCTGACTCCCTCATCCCAATAGATGCTCCAAGGTACTGACAATCTTTGACTTGAAGATGTGTGCATTCTCGGCCCTTGATTAGTCCTGATAGTTTCTTCCACAAAGTTGGCATCTCTTGGACAGAAGGAAACAAGTTCTTGTCCTTGACCATTTCTGCCATCTTTGTGCGCAGAGTTTCAATACCCTGATAGGTTTTGTTGCTGACCGGAATAACTTGTACATTTAACAAACTTTTGGGTCGTCCATCAAGCAACTTTTCCAGGGATTCTTTCTTAGCCAAGATGTCTTGACTTGAAAGACCATAGAAAAGTTCTGGCACATCTTTCCCACTGTCTGCCGCATCCAAAGCCATCTGACAGAGTAGAATCTCTTCCCTCAACTTGGTTTGTGTACTATGTTCGGCTACTTGAATATCCCTCTCAATGAGGGAACATGCCGCTTCTACATCCTTGTCTCCCAACATGTCCATCTTAGTTCCTACAACAAGGATAGCTGGGTTGGTCACATGGGAGGTTATGGATGTTAGCCATGTTCCAATTTGTTCCTGGAACTCCTCTGACTTGTATCTTGACATGTCTACAGTGAGGACGTGAAGGGCCTGAGGTGTTAGCAACACCCTCTGCACATAGTGATATGTAGATTGGCCTGCAAAGTCCCATATTGAAGCTTCAACACAATTATTCTCAGTGTCATGGATGACGAAACTGTCCACGCGGACACCTACAGTTCTGTCGATCACAGGAATATGGAAAAATGGTTGATGACGTGAAAGGCTTTGCCATAAACTGGTCTTTCCTGCCATTGCCTGTCCAATGAAGACCGTCTTCATGATTTTTGACTGTGCTTGTTCATCATCTAAATTTGTATTGGAATCAGGTTGATCTCTTTGCTTTGTTAAGATATGTGGATCTGTAAGAAAGTACAAAATAAACTGTTCACATTTCCAGATGATATTAATTTTTGTCTGACTAAGTTCCCTTTTAATCTATTGAAGCTTGTTAGGCGACACCAATTTAATTTGTTGTTTCTCAGATTTTTTTTAGAAAAAATATGAAGCGACAGGACGAAAAAAAAAAAGATTAAAAAAAAGGCCAAGGTTCCCCTATGATAGCTAGCCAGAAATGTTACAATGTAAGCCCTGAAGTCAACATACCAGGCCGGTTTATAATTAAAACAACAAATTTTGAACTTTTAATGAAACAAGGTTGCATTGTTACATAGAAAAACTTTAACAACTAGGAAAAAATGGACTTTCTTTAACTGTTGCATATTTGGGGCCAAAATATGTCTTCCATTTTTTAGTTTATTCAAAACCTAAAATCTTTTTTTGTTTTGCAAATCGGAAAAAATGGGCAGGCAAATCCGAGAAACAACAAATTAAATTGGTGTGGCCTTACCCTGAGAAATGACAGTCATATTGTTACCGTTAGAAATGACAATCATCAAGACTTAGTCTAAAGTCAAAGTTATAGTCACTGTAGATATTTTGTTAAAATTGGTGATATACGAAGAAGAATATATCAACAGTACAGGTGAAGCCTACAGAAACATTCAAAATTTTGTACAGCATGGCAATCTGTAGCTCATCTACAGAATGAAAATGAAGTACAGTATTTGATGAATATGCAGCATTGTAATTCTAAAAAGGAAAAAAAGTTCAATCATTACATTTTTTCAATTCTTAAGTTCTGTTTCAAACCCCACAAAAAATCAAGAAACTCATCACAGGCATAACAACCTCTTCAACCTGTTTCAGTACCTTTATTTTGTTGTGCCACATGTCCCACTCGTTTGCTCTGTTGACCATATTGTGACCCCTGATGTCTGTCAATGCCATATTCCTTCTCTGCCAACTGCTCACAATGCTCCATCTCCTTCACTAGGAAGCCCTGGCCATCCTCTTCTAAGATGTTCACTAATTGGTCGTATGGCTCTTGCCGCTTCCTCTTCTGCAGCATGTCTATTAAACAGCGGCCTGGTGTCATGTTCGCCTTTAATTGGGCAAAAGAACATCAGTAGTCAGCCTTAAAACAAATCATTTTCAGCAATTTTATATTTATTATGTTATATTTTCTATCTTTGCACTGGCTACAAGATAGCTAAATTAAGGAGTAAGAAGTAAAGAGAAGCAAATGTTCAATGTACTTTGTTACGTATATCTGTATGATATATGAGATCAAGGATATAATGGATTTATAGGATATAATATTCAAAGTGGTCTACCATGTTGTGTATTGAGTGTAAATTACTATAATCATGCCATTTCATTTCACACAAACGTTTCAGTAGCTACAGCATCCAGTATATCCAAGCTACACAAAGTATATGATGCTATAGCGTATCAAGGAAAATAATTAGTATGGAAAGTACGTGTCTGGCAATTAGAAATGTTGGTTCTGTATAAGAAAAATAGGCCACAACTTACATTGATAGACTTGACATCAGCTGGCCTCAGCTGGTTCTCATGTTCCAGCCGCTTGAGAAGCGATTTTAGATTCATGTTGTCAGCTAGGAACTCCCCAGTGTTGGTTAAGGCCCGCAAACACTGTAACCTCAGTTCACCTTTGAGTAAAGGCAAACAGTCAGTTAATGTCTAAGACTTTAACTGTAAACGTGTATCAAACGTAACATGACATGACGTAGTTTAATGTGACATAACATTACTATAACGTGATATAACATTATTATATTATGATGTGACAATTTGTGTTTGAATTCTCTACAAAGCTCTAGATCTTATCAAGCCCTTTTTATTCCGTTATTACATGAGAAGAGGAGGTCATGGCATTCATAGATAAATGGGTCAAAGCAATTACGTAACTGTAATTCCTGATTTATTTTCACAATGCTGTTCACAGTCTTTGTGATCATTTCTGTGCTGCAAACTTATCATTACTGCTACTAAATTGCCAACTTTCTATTTCCTTCAGCTGCTGCTACCATGAATATATAGTCCCATGAACACCAGGTAACCTCCTTTTTTTCTCAGAACTTTTGGTATCGCGGACATAACATGAATTACAGTAGGCTATTCAGTCAATTGTATAGTCTATTGAGATGTGAAAACCAGGGCTGAAAATACCTCTTTTTGTACTGTCACTACCACCTACAAAATGCTAAATAAAGAATTGAAATGGTTTCTTCCTTACAGTTTCTACGTGTTGTTTGATAAAACACTTAAAACACTTTTTGGTACGAGTATAAAGCAGGCAAAGTTTGTCTAGTCAGTCTAGTCAAAGTCAGGTTAACCAATTTCCACCTGCACCAGAGCAAAAAAATAAATAAATAAATTTTTAAGTCAACAACTGTGTATGTCACCTGTTTGTCTACAAAGTGCATCCCGGAGATTGAGAGCGATGGCTTTTAATCTGCTAGTTACACAGCCAGGCATTGCCCAGTCAATGCTGTTCCGTTGGACTTGCTTAGCTGGCGCCTCAAGCATTGGGTACTGCCGCATGACCAATGTACCGAAGGCACGAAAGTCATCAGAGTTCTGATCCAGCCAAATGACGTATCGAGGCTTATTATTCCTTACAGCAGTTTCAAGTCCTAATGTGACTGTGAGCGAAGACTGGCCTCCGAGCAGGTGTCTGCTGATCACAGGCACGACAAGTTTCACGCTGCCGAGGTTCAGTGTGGACGTGAGCTGTGTGTGATTGTCATCACTAGGTGTCCCTGTTACCTTGTAACAAAAAATGTCCTTCTTGCACAGACTGTAACCAAAATCCAAATGCACCAGCTCTTCTGCTAGTGCCCCGATAAAGGCTTCATCTTCTGCTGCACTCAAAATGACGACACTTGGACCTTACATAAAAAGAAATACTAGAATCAATCACACCATTTTACATACTGTCTTAAATGTCTATGGAGTTTGAATCATCTCGTGCACTATTAAGAACATTAAAATAAGAATTCGGAGACCTCATACTTACTTGAAAATATTCAAAGGCTTAATTTTTTTTCAATTGGTCTCATTGATTATTGAAATGATCATGTACAAATGGCATTACAAATGACATTATACAAATGATCATGTTTCAGAACTCACATTATGCATGTATTTCATATGTGAAAGTCCTAATCTTTGGCAAGGTTTCATTTCAACATTCCATCATTACTTATGCAAGTGTTATCCATAATATCATAATATATGCGTAGGGATGTTAACCTTAAACTAACTTATCAAGTAAATTACATTAAGTAAATTACATTTACTAAATAAATGCCCATCATTTACCACTAAGGAATCTTAGTATATTCTCAGTGATGTGATTATGCAAATTAGGTCCTCATTCATGATCCACTTGCAATAAATTACATCCATCAAAGACATCCTTGCATACTTAAGCTGTATCAAAGTCCTCTTATGTACAACAATTGAATTTTTGAGAGGGAGGAGAGAGAGGGGAGGGGAGGGGCGAGAGGAGAGAGGAGGAGAGAGGA